CACACACACACACACACACACACACACACAGATGTAACGTGAGGCTAGCGTTCTACTCAAATATTGAAACGCACCAAAAAAAATACTTTTACGTGTAGTTTTGGGTATCTCCTTGAGCTCGCCTGATTTTTCAGCAAAGAGCGCAAGGCCAAGGATTTTCAAGTAATCACACTGAAGCTCGCGGGGTTTAATAGTGAGCTTTTTTCGTGCGGTATAAGTTACTAGTGAGAATTGTATAAATAAGTAGGGATAAAAAGTACATTTTCATACGGTATATTTATGCTAATATCATAGATTTTCAAAAATACAGCAAACCGTTTATTCAATACCAAAAATAGGTAAATTTAAACAACTCAAGTGTGTACAATATGTTTCATGTAATTAAATTTTTTTTCAATGAAACAATACAAGCTTGTATAACGTATATCGTGAAATTAAAATGCTATAAAAATTCAAATAATCCTTATTTAAAAGCGTTAAAAATGTTTAGATTTTACATTCAATCGCAACAAAGGATGATAATTGTATAAGTAAATTTAATAATCCACCTGGATTTGTAGAAATTCGATTATTGAAATTAAAAAAATAACTACTGGTATATTGCCACAAATTTAATATAATTATTTTATTTCACATAAAAATAACGAGTTGAATGAAGCCTTCTTGAACTAAAACAAGCGAAAGAAAAGAATATTTAACACTTTCGTGATACGAAAGCTACAGGAATTGATATTCCAAGAGGGCATTTGATGCGTATCGATTGCGCCAAGGCGGTCCGTCGGCCTTTTAGCGCCTTCCGAAAATAAAGCATCGTTTTTCTTGCTCTTACTCGTATCGAGTTGAAATAAAAGCACAGGAGAAGATTTTCGAGAGCAGGTCGAATCGGTATACATACGCGGCTTGTTAAATATGCAGCGCGCATTTTTGAGATTGATAGCTTGGAGTATTTGCATTTGGAAAAAAAGCGTGTTTCAAAAGCGGATATTGAAAAGAGGCCACGAATGCGTCAAGATTGATTTAATGAATTATTGAGGACATTGTATAATTGATATTGCTGCTAAAACCGCTGAACCTTTATTCGGCACTTTTTGTTATATTGTAAAACTGGGCCAGTCGAAGTTGAGTCACAGTTGCTTCTATCACTAATTTATTTATTTCCCTTTTTCCAGCGATGAAAAACATCAAAAATTCGTGTGACAGCTGTTGTAAAAATGTTGCCCTGTTGAATATTTCAAACGAGCTTTTGATTTCAATATTACGTATGCGTTCCAGCAAAGACTTTGCTAATTAACGGAATAGTATGAAGCCTCTAGAATCGGATTCACAAAGCAATTACATTATCTTGATTACTAAATTATGTACGTCTGCTATTGAATAAATCACAAAGACGGTTAAAAATTCTCATTGACTGTATTATCGTACAAATACACAAAATACTTTAATTGTCGAAAAAAGAACATTTGAAAATTTATCGTTGCTGAAACTTCCCAAGTATATAACTACGCAACCAATAATGCACAACACAGTGTTGGCATGTGCAGGCATAGAGCGAAAAGGTCGCAGACGACTATCGTAAGTCATCGGAGAGGTGGTGCCCGAGGTGAAACTAATTTATAAGCGACAAATAAGGATATTAGCTCACGCGGCGCATGTGAAATTTATATCCAAGCGCGCGTGTCCTCGCTATTCTACATATTCATGATGTTCTCCCTATCTTTCACACATACATACGACGCAGCAGTATCGCTCAGAATAAATATTGCTTGGTTAATTTTCTCATCTCCCGAAGAGGGAAGCGTGACTGAGCCATCGAGCTACGGATTTAACGAAGGCATATGCTCTGGCGAATTAATTTTTCTACTGAACTTGCAGAAGAAACGAGAAGCTCGTTATTATTGTAATGAAGATCGTAACGCTATAGTATTGCATATTTTTTAGTACTTAATTAACAGCACGTTATGGTTATTTTTGCGAAATTTATCGTTGGATATTCAAGCTCTGATTTAACGATGGTTATTCTCTTTTTTTCTTGGTCATTTATCGACTTTAATAATACCAAATTTCTTTTTTTAATTTTGAAAAATCAGTTTCATGTTTTCAACGCAGAAGATTTTTTACAATAGAAAATGAGAGTGACCGAAATTGCTGCGAGTCGCCTGACAAAGAAATGTGCTTAGAAAATTGTAAAATTCTCGGGAGATCAAGATAATGAGTTTTTGCCAGAGGGGTTCAATGTTCCAGCATTAATTAATTCTGTACAGCGCAAACACACACATACGCACACGTGCCTTTGAGCTACGCTATCTATTTCCAGATGGCGTTCTCTATCAAATGTTACAATTGCCGAATATTCTTTTGAGCTTGAGTTCTGTCACATTTGCACAACTGACAATACATAAAGAAAAAAATTAATTTGACCTAAAAAGATCGTAATTTAACAACAAGTATCACGTCACACGTTTGTATTGATTTATCAAAGTCGAATAAAAATGCAGGTAGTCCAACAACGTCGAGTATACGATATCGTATAACTTATTATACTAAGTTATAATAACTCGTGAACTCGATCAACGTCAAACTTCTGCACGATCTCACGTTTATTATTTATTTTACGTTCCTTTTCGTCGCACTGAAATCCTTGGTTTTATTATTTTTGCGCGCGAAGAAATAGAAGAGTCTACTGCACCTATGGACGTTACGACTTTTTTAACACACCGAGAAATCGCTTATCAATTCCAAGCATAGAGCGCTTCCTAAATCCTTTTCTCGCCATTTCAGTCACATGTGCATTTATCGCACTCTCCTTATGTTGGATAAATCTGTCATTTGAACTGTAAAAAAATACAATTTTCGATCACTGCCTCGATCAAAATAAAACTGGTTATTTGTTTGAAATAGAGATGTTTTTTCGATTTTTTTATATTTGTGAAATGGATCATCAGATTAGCATACAAAGAAGTTTTTCAGCGAGGTCGAACTATGTAGCCGCAGCGTGATAAACAACGTACTTGATGCAACCGCAATAAAGAGAGCTCTCGCTTGGTATATTTTTAATTAGAAAGCGTGGGAAATTGTCTCCGGTGCAACACTTCTTTCCTCGTACCACATGCGCATATACATGTGCTTTTAGAAAAAAAAATAAAGAAATTCTCAGTACAGCTGATAACTGTTGGAGAAAAACTACACTGTTGCTTGCTTATGCGTATGATTTTGAAGATTATGAAAGGAAAAAATTGACTACAAAGCGATATTCTCCGCTGCTTGCTGTTTTAATTAAAGACGCGAGCAAGCTTGCAATGGTTCTCTATTGTTGCGGCTTTTACTATTTGAATGCGCGCAAGGATATACATGCAACGCGCGTGTAACTGCTTAGCATTTCTTTCATTAAGTCCGTGTAAATTAATTAAATTATTTACTCCCGGAGAATTTTAAAAAGCAAACAATTCGAAATTGTCGTGTTTTCATTGTAAATGCTAATCTGTTGTTTGAGTGCATTTATATTATAGAAATTGAGTAATTAGTATGATTCACTCGATTAAGTACATTACGCAATTAATTTTATCAAAAGTCTCGGGGATTAAATTGGATTACGCTCATAATTTCAAAGTGGATTAACTCTTCGCGATGTGCGCGGAAACTGTTATTGTAAAATTTTTTGCGTTTTGTAATCGACTACAAGCGATGCACGAAAATAGACTCACGAGAAAAGCTCTTTCAACGACGTGGAGTATTCAAACCGACCCTCAGACATGAGCATTGTCGAAGTGTCAACGCTTGTCAAAGAAAAATAAACAATTCTTCAGCCATGTACTCATCGCCACTTATCCTGCAAGCATATAGGCGAAACTTCCGCGTGCGAACAAAAAAAGTAAGCCATGGGCGACGCGCAGTTCCAGCGGATAATTTGCGCCCTTCGGCCACTCATCTCTCTGTCTTTCTCTTGCGGGTGGCTAGCACACAACAGCTGCTCTCTCTTGCTCACTCTTCTCTCTCTCTCTCTCTCTCTCTCTCTCTCTCTCGGTAGAGAGAAGTGTGCCGTCGCTCGATATATACATACATATACATACACACACACACCCACATATATTTATATATATATATATATACACATGCTTGATGCCACTACCGACGAAGAGGTGGAGGCGGAGGGTCGCCTTGAATTCTTAATGCGCGCTCTAATTATTCCACGACCGGGTGCGCGGCGCAGCGCGGCTGCCTTTTTCATTTTCGCTTGCGAAATCGCATATTAATGGCGCTATTGTTGCCGGGAGCCAGAGAGAGACTTTCTTTCCTGGCTCCTCTTCTTTTCTATTTTTTTCGGTGAGGTCAGATACCGAGGGAGGTAGAAAAAGGCTCTTGGAATTAGGAACTGACCACGTTTGTCTGCTTTTTTTATTTTCAGTGCATATCGAGCGCACAATCCGTTACACTTATTTACAAAACGTTACAAACTTTATCATTCGCACTAACGTTAAGATTCACTGTTTTTTAATGCGTATTTTACTTTCTTTCTAAAAAGTTGATATGGCTAAAAAGTTAGAGCGAGCGTCTAAATTTGTAATAAATTTTAATTTATCTAGAATTTGTAATAAACGTAATGAAAAAGCCCTGTGTAAATAATAAGGTGATTTTCATTTGCAAAGGTCCAATGAATCTCGTGTAATTTGCGACTCCGATGAAAATGTAATTGACGCAAGCGTCAACATCACCAAATTGGTAAATAACCACATTGCGTATTTTCAAATTGAAATCATTAGTAAACTTCAATCGAGAGAAAATCAATCACAGGCTCTATTTAAATTTAGCGCTAAATAAGAAAGTGAGAGGTAGAGATCGAGAAAGTCAGCCGGCTTCTTCAAACAAAGCCAGGAAAATCAGGCCTCTTTTTCGTTGTCGTATGGAATGTCGGGAGCGCAGCGAGAATAGCCATAATAGAGAGTATATTTAAACGCGCTTGCAGTCTCTGAAGTTGATTAAAATCTTAACATCGATTGTTACAGGCCAGGATGCCAGCCGCGAGTAGGAGAAGCGTCTCTGGCAGCGGCAGCAGCAGCAGCAGCAACGGCAGCGGCAGCAGCAGCTGATCGATCGGGCCACTCTCGGTAAGGACACATTTATACGTGCCATCGGCAAATATTTGCGAGCTTCCCTCCCTCCTCCTCCTGCGCGCGTGCCACGCCTCATAACTTGAGCTGCCGTGTAGTTCTCTCTCACTCACTTTACCAAGGTTATATGGGATCCATCGATTGTACCAAGCTCTCGATACACTGGAACACTTCGTGTAATTATTTGGCCACAGCATGTGCCCGCCGCATATCACGTCTCGTGGAATTTTCATTGAACGACAAATGTCCTGCCACCCCGACGTCAGTTTCACGAATCACTTCGCCCGTTCCTCCTTTCCATTGGCTCTCTTTCTCTCTTAATTTTCAATTTTTTTTCGTATACCCTTGCGCGCCAGTAGGCTCTGGCGATTTAGCTCAGCTTGATATCCTTGGGCTATTGAAATGAAGCAAGCTTTCAATGCCTGAAAGAGAACTTTACTCTCGGAGCAGCAGGCGTATAACCCAATTGTCCGCGTTTGATGCTGTTTACAAATAGCCATGGATTATAAAATGATAACGATTATGTACTTCTACAATCTGAAAATAACTCTGATTATCGCTATAATAAGCTTAGGAACACAAAGAATAAGCGACAACGTCTTTCCATCCTCTCGGTCATCGCGCGGGTAAAATGGAAATAGCGCGAGAGCACGAGTTCGTTACTAGAAAAAGCTCGAGTTACCTTAGAAAAAGCTGCCATCATCGAATTTCCGCGCGGGAAAAAGTTCAACGGTCCGTGGCTATGTCTGACTCCACGAAGTAGTTATAGTGAGCTTGTGCTGTTCCTCTTGCTGTATACTTGGGAAATAAGAGATGTGTAGCTCAAACATACTGTATGTACGATAGACCTCAAGTAGTAAGTTGAGCTATAGGTCAGCCACCGGGGACACGCAATGGAATATGTCTCTGTACGCTAGGAAATACTTACCTTGTGACTATTTAATACTTGACTGTGCTTCGTATCGCGTTATTCACTGATAATGATATTATTTTAAGATATATCAGGATACAGCAAGTTTGGAGATCTCGAAAGTCGTACATCTTGTTTGATGTTTTATAAAGTTTCTGTAGTAAAAGATATCGATATTATAATCGTTAAATACTTTCATGCCTCGTGAGGTATTGTCATTTTCACCACTTTTTACAATGTAACTGACCTCCCACTACGCTCTGAATACTATTTAGCAAGAAAAATAGGTCAATTATGCAAAGTAAACAATGAAAGTGTCACAAAATATATAGCTAATAAAAATCTTTAGTAGGTGAATGGGTCGTTATAATTCAAAATCGTGCGTTTGGCTGCAATCAGTGTGAAAGCAGAAGACAACTAAAACGAGCGGTAGCAGCGAAGTAGAGTTACAATACGGAGCAAGTGAAGCGTGTAGAAAAGAGAGTAAGAGAGAACTAGCAGCAGTGAGCAGACGATCCATATTTTCTCTGGCGCGGAAAGAAGGTGAAGCTCGAGCCCGCGATTACACTCTTTTTTTAGCTCGACAGAGAGAGAGAGAGAGAGAGAGAGAGAGAGAGAGAGACTCGTTGAGAGTATTTCAGACAGACCTTCGCTTTACGACTTACTCGGGCTATAGCCGACGAATTTATCTCGCTTCATTATTTTCTTTCTTCCTTACTTGTTGTGTCTGTTGTTCGTTTCTTCCTTCCAATTTTATCAAAGCGATTGATAGACTTAATTAATAGGCGAGAAAGAAGCAGTTTGTCAATGCGGTGGATTAACGCGCACAATAATCTTTCTAGCTCTCAGCGATATTTTCGCGTTAGACGTTGCTACGTTCCTTATGCAATCTGCGCACCTGGCTATTAACTTGTTACTTTGTTCGCCTTCTGACTAACTGGGCGCTTTCAGCTTTGCAGAGCTGCGAGATTATTTGATAACGCGAATTAATTTATCGCGCGCTCCTAGACACTACTTTTATCTACTTTCCACTGACTTTTCATCGTATCTTTACTTTGGACTACTATCCAAATTAGCAGACACGATATAACTCGAACGTAGATTCCAGTCGTCAAGTTATTATATCGATCCACGTGAATCTCCTCATGCACGCGATCGTCCAATCAGACGTCATCTCTATTTTTCTAATGCCTCGCGCTCTAACTGCGTTGACGTGCAATTTTTCGATACTCTTTATTGGCGGCTGTAAAATCCTCTCTCTGATTTTCCCTTCGGCCTTTCGAGCGAATTTCTTTTTTTACGTGTATGAGTTCGGAAAATTCTGTTTTGCGTCAGTTGAGCTCGAAAATTAAGAAATCTTCTGATTAGTTCGTATACAGTGTTCAATCGACCATGTTATTCGAGTTTGAAAATATAAGTTAATTCTATTGTATATTTCAGGAATCGCTGAACAATTATGTTTGCTTGACGATGGTTCTGTCGGTTGATAAAAGTCGGGAAATTCATAGCTGCGAGGTTATCGTCAAAGTACTGTAAATGGTGCGATGGACCTTTTCAGAAAAGTAAAAGAATTTGTTAAACATACTATCTGACAGAATATTGAGCGAACTTGGTTTGATAACAGCGATATGCTGTAAGATGAATAGGAAGGAAACGCAACGTTACGATGTTGAGATTGAGCAGGAAAAAGTACGCACAGCTACATATACACGCATCGACAATCCAAAGAATATAGCAGTTCTCTCGCATAGCTGAGCTATAAAAATGTGCAGTTTCTATTTTTTTATTGAATCAACATGCAAATAACAGACGTGATTTCAAGAAAATTCTCATAAATATTTACGACAAGGAGTATTGAGCTTGAGAAATAGATTGAAAAAAATAGTGGAAAACAACGCGGAAAACGTTTATCGAATTTAACGCTGTCGAGTACGAGCCATGCAACCTTGCGTATACCTCTGAAAGCTTGCAAATACAGACACTGCGGTGCTGCACGCGAGCGAGCCAAATAAAATCAAAAGAAAGCCGAGGCTTGGTTTGCTCTCGTACTCCGATATTTGCCGTTCACGAAAGAGCGGTCGAAGCAAAGCAACTCATTTGGCGAATCTCCGGCTCTTTCGTCACAGAACTGAGGCTGCATGCAATGGGAACAAAAGACCGTCTAGAAATGTTGTATGTTTTTTCGTATATGTACGGGTAAATAACGAATGAGACGGCGGCACAGCCGACTCTCTGAAAGGTTCTCGAGATATCATGTGGAAGTGCCTTTTCCACTCACGCCTACACACATATATATACGTATATATACTCTTGATTTTCACGCTGTGCGTTGCCGGAAGAGAAATTGAAGTTCTCGACGTGAGCAACTCAACGAGCGAGAATATTTCATGCTTAGGAATGCGAAGGATCGAGGAATTCGAGGCGAAAATACTTGTGATCTTCTTCTTTGGAGGATGATAATGTTCTCATCGTACTATCCTGCGAAGTTATTTGCAAAGTATGAAAGAGAAAGAAAAAGAGAATGTTGCTGTTGAAAGTTCTTTCGTTGACTTTGAAGTTTGTTCGTTTCAATTAAAAAATCTTCTATTGGTTCAATCTGCTGAAATGGAATAGTTTACAATACTGAAATTTATTTATATATACATAGTTTTTTTCTACATTTGCATTGTTGAAAGGCTTTATTGATAAATTAATTCGATAATGAATCGCAATCCTTTTGCTAATAATCCACATAAATTAGCTTTACAAATGACAAAGGAAACGCTTGTTATTAATTTGCAGATTGGCTATTCAGTTGATCTCATTGGAGTAACAAATACTCTGAATATTACCAATGTAAATTAAATGGATAAAATTTATATACTAATATCATTTTCGTATTTTTCAAAATCAATTAAAGAAAAAGTATGATTACCGAGTAACAGAGAATGCCGGGAGCTATTGAATGACGAAAAAGAAAAAGAAACAAACTAAAGCATTAGCGGATTAACGTCAAGATAAATGTCAAAGTTGTTCAGACGCGTTGCACTTCACGCGACACACAGCGCAGCCGATTAAATTAACAATATGCTCAAGGAAACAATTAGTGGCTGCGCCCGCGCGCGAGGACAGCTGCAATAGAACGACAAACAACAATGCGCGCAACGGCTACGACAACAAAAGGTGGCAGGCGCCAGTTGGATCGCTTTAAGCTATGTACTATGCGATATAATAACTACAAGAGGATTTAGTTCTTTGTACACGTTGACGAGCTGGGGTCAGCGGGTATACTAAAATTACGTGGTCAAAAGCAAAAATGCGCTTCACGGTTAAATTATATCTACGCTGAGAAACGGTGAGAATTCGAGAAAAAGGGATTTCGAGATAAATAGCACTGGAGAAAGAAAGGAATCGAAACGACAAAAGACAATGGGAAATAATAGTACGGTAGGTGGATGGAAGAGAAAGAGGTAGCCTCGGTGTCTCAGCTGTACTGAAAGAGGAGGAGCAGACGGTGAAAAGACAGTCGAGGGCGAAACGTAGAAAACATGAGATACCGCGTTCCGTCAGATTGGTAATCGTACAAAATCCGTACATACCCTCTCACCTTTTGCTTTTATCTCACTCTACAAGAGATTCCTTGCTCTTGTCCTCTTTTCCCCCTCAATTTCCATCGTATCCACACACGTGCTGCCGCTGCTGTTGCTGCTGCTGCTGCTGCAAGAGCACAAAAAGGAACGTCCGCGTAACAGCGTGCGCACAGTTTTGCTCAACAACAACTTACTTTTGGAACACGCGTCCACATTAGAATGCAAGCGATACATCATTGTACTTTTCAGCGTAACATATGCTGCTGCCCTGGTGCCTTCTAACGCACATTGCTTTGCTGTTTACGAGTGTTACACAGCCCGAGTGCTGTTTTTCCTCTTTGGCCGCTCGTACGCTGGAAGCATAGCGACGAAACCGCCGTAAATTTAACGCCTGGGTGTCCAATAAAGATAGCAAAGGTAATAAAAAGCCAAAGGTGCGCCCCTTTACTAAGTAATGTTGTTATACACGTGGGTGTAGCGATGCGCGGGCGACGCGTGGCACGATGGATTTTCCGAGC